GCTTTGCTGGAATTTAAAAAACATTAGAAGTATTCAGGAAGTTTACACACCTGGAAAAGAGCTGCGTTTTAACCCTTTGGTGTTCTGTCAGCTCCTATTGATGATCAGTGGAAGTACTTGTGTGCTTGGAAGTTTGTGTGTGTGAATAGGAATGATGCGTATATCACGTCCTTGGGGAGCAGACCTAGCTATGCAGGTCAGGGTGGCTGTGATCTGAATGGAGAGCATTAATATTTAAACACAGGCTCCTGAGGGAAAGAGACTGTAAATGATTCATGATTTATAGCATGAGCTTTCTGCAGCGAAGGCTTGATGGTTCGTAATTCACTGATTCCTCCTGTTCATGTGCGTCCACCTGTGCTTCTGTGTCAGATGTCTTTTATCTCGGTACGAATAATGCCCTCTTTACTTGCTTCTCTTGATTAATAATTCTCATTCACCAATATCCCATTTCACTTTTTAGCTGTCTACTTTAATTATTTTTTCTTCATTCCTTTTATTTTTTTCAATGCACCATAACTCTTTCCCAGCTATACTGAAAAGAGGTAAAAAGAGATGAACTTGTGGAGAATTTCCTTTTAAACTTTCAATGTGTGCATGTAAGATAAAATTAAAGACACCACTGTAATATGTGCATATTTATGGAAATTTACTAAAGTTTGGATTGTAACTTTTTGTTTTCCTATTGGGAGACAAAGATCAAGAGGGCGGCATTCATGCAGGAAGTGCTGCTGGCTACCTCAAAAAAATTATTTAAAAATCCCTACTGTGCAAACTGGATGTGTGAATCTGACTTATGATATGAAGACAAGATATCGGACATCTAAATCTTCTCTATTTTCACGCAATTTACTTCAGAAAGGGCCTCCTATTTATTTTCCCTTAGATGAATAATGTCCACAAACCAATGAATCAAAGACTGGAAAAGGATCCCAGCATTCACAGAATAACAGGGCTTGGAGAAACTGGAGTGGAGGTAAAAAGAGAACCATCTCTCCACAGTGGTGGATTTAGAGCTTTTTAAATGGGGGGTGGGAGGAGGTGCAAAGGAGGTACAGAATGGCTAGGTAGGGTGGCAAAGCCGGAGCTTGTTTTTAAATACATAAATGGTATTTTGTACTCCTCTATCTGCTGTTACCTGGTTACAGAGAGCAGGTTGAGGTCAACCATTGGGAAGAATAACACTAAAGCAGATGTAGATGTGACCAATCAGAGGCCTCCTGTCTGCGGTCACCTACAATTTTGGAGGGGTGCAGCAGAGTGTCTGTGGAAAGGGTGGGGGCACATTTGCGTTCACTTGCGACACACACGCAGACGACCTGGTTTCTGAGTATAAATCAGCTTTTACACTCAAAGTTTAGGGTAGAACAATACTAAAGCAAAAACTTTATGATGATGCGTAAGAATGCATGATGACCTCAGGGCTGCCAACTTTTCACCAAACCTTGGAGTGAGATTTTGAAAGAATTTGAACATGCATCCCTTGTCAGGGTTGGATGAGGATAGGTGCAGCTATACAGTAGGTTGTAGGTTTACAGCGTAGGTTTACAGCGTAGGTTTACGCTGTTACCTTGTTTTAACGAGTAATCTAACTAATTACTTTGACTGTAACTATAACGCAGTTACCATTGCAGACACCCCGTTACTGCACGTTACTCAGGTCGCACAATTAACCATTTTTCATGATAGGACTCGTGCGCGCCTTGTCATGAGAGAGGGGTGGATGAGAATGGCTGATGTATAGTGAGATTCCGTCTGTCAGTTGGGTAGGTGGGTGTTTCTGCTGGCGGGTGTAAACGTACAGCACACACAGAGAGATGGAGAGTGAGGATGACTCCAGCAGCAAAACAGCGTTTTCCACATGGAAATACCGGTGTTACGCCGAGCTGCGTTTCCCCATCAGATACGGTTTCCCCTGCACCTCCGCACAGCGCAGGCGGCACGATTCACCGCACAAGCGACAGGAAACGCGCATGCTCACTAAAGGCGCGCAACTGTCGCCCTGTGCTCGCGCCACAGGAGAACTATGGAGAGCGTGAATGATAAAATGAAAGCCTATATGGAGAAAGGGAGAAATCTGGATGGATGGATGGATGGATGGATGGATGGATGGATGGATGGATGGATGGATGGATGGATGGATGGATGGATGGATGGATGGATGGATGGATGGATGGATGGATGGATGGATGGATGGATGGATGGATGGATGCTCTGCCTTTTCAACCTACTGTATTTTTTATTTTAAACATTATTTGATGGCCTTTGTGGCAGGGATGGAGATCCATATTTTATGTCACACACAGAGTATAGATCTAGATAGATAGATAGATAGATAGATAGATAGATAGATAGATAGATAGATAGATAGATAGATAGATAGATAGATAGATAGATAGATAGATAGATAGATAGATAGATAGATAGATAGATAGATAGATAGATAGATAGATAGATGTTGCAGTATCTATAACAACCCAAACACACATGATTTCTGAATTAGACATTCCCAGTTATGAATTTCACCAGATCTGAATGTCCTGTTAAAAAACTTCACATGGCGTTCCCCCCTGATGTCATTTACGTTGAGTTGCAATAAATGCTAAACTCTCTGCAGGTTCTTGTCTTTGTCATCCACTCTATTCAGATGGCTTTGGAAACACACGGCGAGAAGGTGGGGGCTGGATGGTGAGGGTTACGGGGGCGAGAAACCCAAAAGTAACGCAATAGTTACTTTTACTAGTAACTAGTTACTTTTATTGTGGAGTAACTCAGTTAGTAACTCAGTTACTTTTTGGGAGAAGTAACTAGTAACTATAACTAATTACTTTTTCAAAGTAACGTGCCCAACACTGGATTTAACTAACACAAAGTTGTAAAATGTTGAATTTTTATAGCGCAGTAAATGTTACTGAGTAACAATAAGCGATCAATAGCTATGTGGAAAATTTTTCACATCCATTATTTTCTATAGTCTGGTGATTTTCAGAGAATTGAAGTAAAGCAGAAGGGGCCCTACTAAAATACTTGCATCTTAAATATACTTTAAATTAATAATTTCACAACTATGTTTATTAATTATTCTATTTAGTTCAGGTAACATAACCAACAGGGAACAGGTTATTATTGATTTACTGGCACTAATAAAGGAACTACTGAAATCGGATCCTGTGCAAACTGTGACGATCTCGGCACTGGTGCTGGCTTAATCTCCAACTCCTCACACCTGCTCACTCCACCCTGCCTGCAATTATCACTAATTGGTCCCACCTCTATATATAGCTCATTTGGATCTGTTCCCACTGCCAGATCGTCTCAAACCAACTATTGAGTACCTTCCAGCTTTTCTACATTTTGCCTGCCTACCTGTTACCTGACCTGTTTTTGCCTTTTTTTCTCCGAGCCTGTCTGACCCCTTATCTGATCCTGACTGCCTGTCCAGAATCCAAACCAGACCTGCCTCTGAACCCTTGCATCAGTTCTGCCTTGGATTGAATGCCTCTGAGCCTGAACCCCACTCAGTCAGTGAGTAACCGAGTCTGCCTAACTCTTTTGCTTCTCTCAACCTGCCAGTAAACGTACCCTCGAACGGACCTGGACCTCTCTTATGGATTGCCCCTCTGTACCTTCGCTTGGATCCCATCTCTGAATCCATAAACGAACTGTCTCTGGAGCTCGTCGGCCTCAGTCCTCAGCTAACCATCCGCCACTCAACGGCCACCGCTTCCACAAGCCCCTTCATCATACGGACTCCTGCCCCGGACCACTCTAAGACCCAGTAACAGGTTAGTGATTCAGCCTCAGTCCCTCTCTAGTTCTCTTATTGCTGATCACTAACCTGTTGTCTCCGCCACAGGGGATTTCCTGACTGAGAGCCGCCTGCACGCCCCCTGCGCCTCCCATTATTAATAAAATCTGTTGCATTCCACTGACCTGTCTGAGCTGTTTCCTGGGTCCAATATCCTGTACGTTACACAAACTACACTGTGTATGAATATTTGGTTATAGGCTAAGTATTAAAAATCTTAAGTGATTCTCTTATTGGTATTTTTATTTTTTATTTTTACAATTTTATAACTGAGGCTGTTCACGGTTAGCATCAGGGTCAAAATATTTTCACTGATCTGTCAGGTCGATGAGTCACGACTAAACGGTGTTTCACTGTCACTTTAAATGGTTTTTCACTATTTGATTTTAAATATATAGTTGATAATGTTCTCTGGGTGGATCATCAAAACAAGTGGTCCCCCTAATTGTCAAGCTTTCTAGTGATGTGTTTACATAAGACCGTAATGCGTGCTGGTCCTCACTTAGCTGTCTTTTTCTGCCCATGCACACGTTAATGCTACAGTTTCAGACGGTCATTGGAGCTCTCCTTTCTCACTGCTGTTCTTTAAGGTTGGCAGAGAGTTGTAGGAGAAAAAGTGTCTACGAAGTGTATCAGAAGAAGAGAAAGGACTCAGAAGAGAAAAACAAGACTAGAGTGTTTTTGGGGAGATTCTTTCACATGATTGCATACACTGTGTTGATAATGTGTGAGTTAATTACATCTTATTATTAGCTGCCTGTTCTGACATGCATAGCATGTCAGGACCCAATAGTTTCCCCAATAGTTTAGTTCCTCTGTCCAGATATACAGTTACAATCTTCATTCTGTACGAGGCAAAGATTTGGGAATGAAATGAGAGTGGTGTCCTTCAGCTAAGAACAAAGTGTAATATTGTGTCTACTCATGTCTGCTCATCTGCTAAAGTTTATAATGTAACAATGTGATGATGTGGCAGACTGGAGATGCATAAAAGGCCTTTTTAACTGTTAATCGGGGCCACTTCCTGAGAGGTGAGCCCACAGGTGTGCAGTTGCCTTCTGTAAACTTTAAGCAACTTCTCTGATCTGAGTAAGGTTACAATTTATGTCAAAATCTTTTGTCATGTCTCATTTAATACATATAAGTAATGAAGTGTTATTGAAAGAGCCTTTCCCAAATGATCTCTTTTCAGAAAAAAAAACTGGAGAGATAGAGCTTCAAGGTGTAGACACAGAGGAAATCTTTAACAACTGAAAGCACAGGTCGGGCTTCCCACTGATGCCTCGGTTGCAAAGTCTCTACTCAACAGGTAAAGTTTGGCACGGTATTTGGGGAAATCCATTTCACATCACTGCTAGTAGAAGTTACCTACCTCTATATTGTAACTTTTCAGGGAAAATAAGTTTATTCATTTTGTATATTGCATGGTTAGTAGTTATGCAATGTCATGATTTTTTTTATGTACCAGTAGTCTTATTTGCGCTGAAACTTTTTTTATATATAAATATGGTTGAGATGAGATCCATCCAAGCAACAGTCTTATCATTGCGTCCCTACACATCCTAGAGAATAGGCTCTATGCACAACTCCACCATTTCCTGAACTTCAGGAGGCTCCTTTGTTTCCTGTCTTTCATGATTGGATGCACTCATTAATCCAAGTGTGTATGACCTAAGTAACTGGCCAGACACACCTGGATTAATCAGTTCGTCCAGTAATGAAAGACAGGAAACGAAGGAGCTGCCTTAAATTCAGGAAGTAGTGGAGCTGTGCATAGAGCCCATTGGGCTAATGCATACATTTTTAAAGCGGAGAGGGCGGGTCTTTTCAAAAATTTGAGTAAATCCTTCACTATACCTTTAATTTTATATTATCAGTTAACTCTGACTTGCTTAGCTATTTGCTCATTGTTGTATAAATGTGTGAATGCCAATCAGTGAATGTAGCTCTAATGCCTTGAGCGGTCATTGAGACTAGGAAAGTGCCATATGCATTCACTTTGCATGCATTCACAGATGATAAAACTGAATTTAGTTTGGCTTAATATTTCCAATGGATATGATCCCCAGGCAAGTCTTAAAGTTTTTCATTTCTATTGAGCATTTTGTCTGCAGTTTTCCATGCCTGAGCATTAAGTATTTTAATGATCAGAAAATGTGAACATCTGGAAAGCCTTATCTTGATAGGTGGGCATTAAAAGACTTTAATGGGGCAAATCTCAGCATTTTTTGTAAATGTAGGGGTATGCCTGTTCATCAGAGCACAGAAAGACAAAGAAAGGGCTAAGGGGACTGTTTAGGGGAAGGAGAAGGAGACAATAAGGAAGGAGATTCATGGACAGACAGGTCTGAAGTGGCAGCAGTCGGCCCTGATGGAGACTGATAGGACAATGAGGAGATAAGAGAGGAGAAGGTGCAGGAGCAGTCTGCTTTCACTTTGTCGAGAAGAGGCCAAGACAGATCGAGAAAAGGACAAGAAGAAAATGAATCAAAGTTTGGAAATGATGAGCATGCCTCCAGTGGCAAAATGGAAGCAGGGAAGGGAAAAGGAGAAGGGGAAATTTATGGAAAAAGGAAATTACAAGGAAAAAGGAGAGGCGGTGTGTGTGTGAATTAATGAAGGAGATTTACTGTGCTGGATTTGTGGAGAGAGGAAACAGGAGATGGGTGAGGTTCCCCTGTGCTTCCATAAGCACTTTGCCAAGCCACCACAGCCACTTAGGTCTATATGAGTTTAGAGCCACTCAGCACTCTGTTGTCCATTTCATCGTGTCCACAGCAATTATCGTCCAGCCTCCGCCTACTGATGCAATAAGACAGGCAGCACAATGCTTAGAACAACAAAGCAGAGAGCATAGATAGAATGATAGTGAAATAACATTAATACAGGCTCATTTAGGAAATGCATAATAATTCCCAAAAATTGTCTGGGCTATGCTGGTCTTGTAAAATTTTAGATGTTGAGAACTAATCGTCTTAATGAACTCTTTGTAAATATAAAGCAGGCTGTATTTATGGATTCTTCTCCGTTGATTTAGTCATTTATTTAATAGGGCGGCATATTATTATGACCACCGATTGGTATGGAAAAACACTCATTCTTCATCATAACTGTGCTAAAAATAGACTGCCTTTTGAGACAGAAGAGGTAAAAGTAAGAGACTTGGTGGACAATTTATCTATAGACGATTATGATTCAATATGCAACTTATTTAAACCTAATTGTGTTGCTTCCTTTTCCTTGTGCTAAGTTTTATTCTGAGATATAATTTTATCAGTTTGCATCAAGCAAACCAACAATAAAGACCTGGGAAGTGTAGAAAACCTGTCTTTTTTAATATTACATCCATAAAAACATAGTAGTAATAGCTGTCATGATCTGCCCTGATAGCTGACATTAGTTGTTCACTTCATTCACCTGTCTAACTCTGCCTGGTTCCTAATCATTCCTCATTTCATCCACCTGCATTTGTTGCTTTATATTCCGCTTGTGTTTGTCTTGTCTCCTGATGGTGTCCTGGCTCCTAGGTGGAGACCAATTTAAAGTTTTGCAGTTATCCTGGTATCATGTCTTGGCTCTTTCCCTCAGCCACTGAGCTTGCCTGTTGCATCTGTGCGTGTCTGTCTGAGCTCCCTGCTGGACTCATGGAACTTTGACCTGCCTTCATGCTCTGTTCATTCGTGGAACCCTGGATCTGTCTGTTTCTGTTCAGATCGGAACACCTGACTGGGCTGCGGACTCTTGGATTCCAGAACTTTTCTTGTCTGATCTGTATCCCTGACCTGGATCGGATCCCTAGCTGCTCACTGAGGTTGCTGCATCGGGGACACTCTGGGCGGCTCTGCGCCGCAACTCGTATCGCAGTCCATTGGCTGGATCCTGCCTTTCTCTGAGAGGATGGATTGAAGTGTTAAACCAGGCAAGTGACCCGCACAGATAACCATCTCCTGTCAGATGATCGTTGTCTATTACCTCTGATTGTCCAGAGTGTCAGTGATTGGGTGGTTTGCTCTCTTAAGAGTTATTAATATCTTTATTCTTCATTCAAAATATTGTCCTAAAATCTGATAAGCCCTAGTTACCACTAAACTACTGTTTATTTGTTGTTGGTAAAGTGACATGAAGTTTCCTGTGTTTTGCTTGTTAAATTATTTTGACACAATGCACTTTAGGGTTTTTTTTTATCTCAAAGATAGAGTGGACACATTTTATTGTATTCTTGCAGAAAGCACCTTTAGTTTTCTCGGGCAGTGGTGGAGGCATGTTATTCTACACTTTTTTTCTCCAGCTTTTATTGTCATTACACTTTTACAAATTCAGAGAAATGAAATGAACTCTGCATTTAACCCATCCTCTTGGGGAGCAGTGGGCACCATTGTGCAGTGTTGGGGGCTAAGAGTTAATTCTGTGGGAGTGGGGCTTGAACCTCAGGATTCCAAGCTCTATGCCCTAACCACTAGGCCACCTCTCCCCTGGCTACAGGATGGATTATATGGTATTCTGAGTTTTTATGGACATTACTGTTTGAATACCATGTTGTTTTCAGGGCGCAAGGGGAATTTTCTACTGATTCTACCTACATTGTTTTTACCCAAGTAAGGAAATGTCAACTATTAAGAAACACTTTCTGACTTCTGCTTAGATGTGCCTGTCATGAGTGAGATATACGTTTACCTAAATAATTTTCTGTTAAGATATTTTTACCTTTACTTAATATTTTTTCCTACTGTACTGTTTAAAGCAACAACTTTCTGTGGAAAACATTGCATGGGGCTGGTCGTGGACATTTGTCCCTCCATCTGACCTCTTCTACCAGTGTCCTAATATAAAATAATACAGACGTGCTAAAAGTCCACATTCACACAAAATAATCAGATTTAGCTGGAAATCCACCTATATATCATAAAAAACATAGAATAAATTAAATCATAGATTATGTTTGTCCAGCATGACTCATTGGGCTGTTAATGTGCAAGTGACTGTTTTTATTTCATTATGTTCTGCACCTTTGAGCAATATAATGGGTGTGTTTTACCCATTAATATTTCTATGAGTCTATGAGTTACAGCTCATTAAAGATTGTTGGCAGTCTCTTCATGAGGAGGTCATAGCTGTTCTTTTTTTATAAAAGTTTAAAGGGCACCAAAGTATCCAAATATCTTGGATGGCATCTATGCGAGGCAGTTGCACAAAATTTGTAGCATTTACCTAAACTAAAAGAACAAATCTGCATAACAGCACACCATTTGCACTGCCACACATTTAAATAAAAATATGTTCTCCTTTTTATTGTCATTACAGTGTCACAAGTACAGAGCAGCAAAACTAACTCTGCATCTGGCCATTGTGCTGCACCCATGGGATAAAGGGTCTTTGTTCAGGGAGCCAGAGCAGCAGTCTGTGGGAGTGGGGCTCGAACCCAGAACCTCTGGATTTCACATGCAATGCCCTAACCACTAGGCCACCACTCCACTGGCACTGTTGAGCTGACTTTTGGAACATCAAAACAATGGTGTCTTCATGCTAACTCGAATGTGCATTAAAGACAGAGTAATTTACCTTTCCACGCACAGGGCATATAATGTTTAATTCCTCCTCTTTTCTAGTTATGTATTAATTGTATGCACACATATATACATTGTTTAATATTGCAGGTGATTTCTAAAATCTGTACGAAAACCTTCTATTTTACTTTAGCTGGTTAAAGGGATTAATCACTTCATTATTTATAATCTTATGCATTAAGAAGATCTAATTTAAATGTATGATGGAGGATTTGTATTGTTGCAGGAGCAGCGAGGTGTTGTTTTTACAGTTTTAAAGAGTGTTTCATTATCCTATGTATTAAATCAAAAGGCAGGAGGAAAATATGTATTCTTCTTTCTTAGTCCTTTTGTGTCTGCATGTTTTATGATAGATGGTTGGATTTTAAGTTTGAAAGAAGGACAAGTCTGATCTCATAAAAAGGGAGTGAAAACTAGGGTCACCAGCTGAATTCCATTGGCATGTCAATTATGCTTTGTAATTACTTTAAGTTGTTTGTTAAAGATGGAGCAAAAACTAGTAAAATTGACAAAAATTTACGGTATTGTAGTAGAGAATGAAGGCAGGTGTTTTTGTGGATTAAACCAAAAGATTTTTGTTAAACTTGTTTCTCCATAAGCTCTGCATTGTTTTTCATAACCAGCTTCTTTAATCCTAGTAATGTTGCGTGTTATGAGATGTGACATCCATCCATAGCTTGATATGGTTCCCATTTGGCAACTTTATTACCTTTTTTGGATGTTGTTAGAGTTTATTGTCAAAGATAAACATAATTTATGGAGTCAGAATTCTACCAAAAAAAGTACATGAAAAAATAAATGCTCATAGCAGCGTAACGTAAACTACTCTCCACATGTATTTTAAACATTTTAGATTCAATACCATGAAGAACCAACATATACCCCAACTTCAATTCAATTCAGTTTATTTATATAGCGCCAATTCAAAACACATGTCATCTCAAGGCACTTAACAGTTCATCAGATCATACAGTCAAATTGATTCAAAGTTGTCTATCTTAGGAAAACCTGTTGATTGCATCGACTCATTGAATCAAATGCAATCCTTGGAAGATGTAGCCTCTGATATCAAACACACCTGTTAGCTACCCTGTTGAGAAAGGGAGGCTTGAAAAAACACTCATTTATATCTGAATACAGATTTGTCGCTGCTGTTAGGCATTTTTTTATTTTATATCCAGCAGTTGATAGACCCAAAGTCAGAATTTGACAGTAGAAAAAAAAACAGAACAACCATAATAACAAGCAGGAGAGTGCAGAGAGGGAGTATGGAATCATCCTTGTTAGATATTGGAGGCCTCATGGTTTTAAATCTGGATGCATAAAATGTACAAAATCTGTGTGGAGAATACTTTAAGTGTGCTTGCTTTAAAATAAAGATGTTCATATGAGTATTTATTATGCATGTGCCCTTTAGCAGGATTCTGACTTCCTACAAACTGGCAAATAGGGAAACAAATATATAGCTGGATAATGATAAGTGTGAGTTAAATTTGCATTCATTCACCTTTACTTGAAAACAGCAAAATAACATCCAGAGCAACTAATGACCTTCAGAGTTCATCTCACAAGAAAAAGGGACATTGATGCAATGTGGGGTAGGGGATCTGGTCCAATAGGATCAAAATGTAAATTTTTGGCCCATATGTATGTGATTGAAAACTAACGCTGCTCATTACCCCAAGCACAATGTGCCCATTGAGGGGGGCGGGGTTAACGCGAATCGAGTCGCCACCTACTGTATCAGAGTTTGTTTACAACCTGTGGATCACAGTCTCTGTAATCGATTTGCTTTGCCTTAATGTGCAGGGTGACCAATCAGGTGTTAGATAACCGCCCCCTAACTTTGATGGGTGAGTTTGACAGATTCTTTTAATGGTTTCGATGCACTGCGACACAAGACTATGAAATACTTAAATGCACACTGAAATAATTATATATACTTTTTTAATAAAATGAAGACATATTTTATTAAATCAATGACACATTTATATATTTAATTCCTTAATTATTTAATGAATTACACATTTAATTAATTGTTTATCACTGTATTTATTTACTTAATTGTGGCACTTTATATTAGTGACGTGGTTTTAATTAATGAATGACACATTTATTCATTTAATTCCACATTTAATTAATTATTGACACATTTAATTATTTATTTAATGCTGTATTTATTTATTTAATTTTGGCACTTTTTATCCTCCATTGAAACATGGTGATGAAAGCATCCTGATGTGTATTTCAAATTCTTTCAGTAGGGACATGGAAACTGATAAAAGTTGATTTGGAGATTTATGGAGCTAAATAATAATTTTAAAAAAAGATTCAGGAGAAAGAAACACTTAAATGCAGCAAAGAAGGGCTACAATCACACTGCAGGTGTTGATGCTCAATTTGAAGTTATTACTGGTATTAATTTTTGGAGTTTTTTGCATGGTCATTAAAACTACTATTTAAATGCAGGCAACATCAGACTCCAGTCTGGACAGTTGGCAAACACACTTCTTTATGGAAGTCATAACAGATGTCAGTATCTCCGTGTTTTTATAAGTTGCTGAACAATGGGAGCTGGCAAATTTATGATCTCATCATAACAAGACAAAGAAAGGTAGGAAAAAGAGAGCAGAACTATTTACAATGTGTTTCTGTGAAGCAGCGGCTGCTGCCCCAGATCATAATGTGGGAGTCTGATGAAATGCAACATGACATACTATCAGATATGTATCCGTTTAAGTACCAAATAACAAATGGTGAATAATTTGGATTGTTTTAGGGGCAAGAAAAATCATACTTAGGCTACTATGACTGCCATGCAAAAGCTTGATATGGGTCACAAATCTGATTTGGGCCCCATTGGCCTGCAGTTTGAATGTAGCCAAGCTGAACTGTTCACCTTTATGCAATATGAAAACTTTACAATTACAGGCCATGCTACAAAGGAATTATTTATCTTTATTATCTGCTTACCCCTCTGTATGAGACAGTATGTTCTCTATATCCTTAAAGGTGAGATTTTAAGGTATCTGTCTTGTCTTTGTGCTAAAATTAATGTTCTGCTCTTTGACGTCGAGCTTCACCATCCAGAAGAAATGTTCCCCTGTTGTTTTCCCCTGTGCTGTTCTTCGTTAGGAACTGATATGAAAGAAACCAAAGAAAATGTTAATTTAGGGGAATCCATCTGGACAGGCACTAACGCTCCAGGCACCAAAATGATGCCGAACTCACAATGGTGCTATTTTC